GGGGTTAGTGCCCTGCATGCAGGGCTGGCTTTTCCCCCTCTGGGGGATGGGAGAGGCTTTCTGGGAATTGCAGCTCCATGGCAGCTTTGTTCTGGTTTGTGTTTGTTGTACATCTCAGTGCCTTGAGTACATCAGAGCTGTGAAAAGGGCATGGTGGGTATTTCAGAGTCACCTGGTTCTTAGCAGTGCTTTGTCCCTGACTTGGGACGTAGAGGGGGGATCTGGGGACATGTTCAACTCTTTTCTGTCACCCAGCGTGCCCAGCCATGGTGCACTATGTCCCCTTCCACAGCGGGGTCCTAGCCTGTCCTGGCTCTGCTCCTGTTCTGCCCGGGGCTCCCAACACTCACCCGCTGCTCCTGAGTTTGTGCTGCCCCATGGCTGATGGTCCTGCCTGACCTGTTCCTACTCCCCATTCTCCCAGCTCTCTCTGGTGTCTGTAAGTGGTGTTGCACCTCCCTCCCAGGGTAGCTAAGCCACTCTCTTGCCTCTGTAGTCCTGTCTAAGAAGCTGAGGTCTCAGTGAGCACCGCAGTGCTGGAGATCACTAACTGTGTCACTCCAAGAGTGCTCTGGTTCCCACAGACTGGGGCTGCTGTCCATGCTGGTTGGCCCCTGGAGCCCCACGTGTGGTCTGCAGGGACGGCAGGGGCTCTGTTCCTACCTCAACTGTGTCATCCCTCCCAGGAACAAGGACACGACCAGGGACGAATTTATCTTCTACTCCAAGCGCCTGATGCGGCTGCTGATTGAACATGCCTTGTCCTTCCTGCCCCTGAAGGTGAGTGCCTGCTCCTGGGTGTAGCCACAGCCCCACCCCATCTCCCCTCCTGGGTGCCCCCAGTCCCAGGGGTCTGGCCCACTCTGTGCTCCCCTTTCTGCAGTCGGTCACGGTGGAGACGCCCCAGGGCACCATGTACGAGGGGAAGCGGTTCCACAGGCAGCGGGTGAGGCACGACCCCTGCTCCCCGTGAGAGCACGGCTCCTGGCTCAGCACGCACTAGGAGCACCCAGCACGTGTCCTGCCCCTTTCCCAGATCACCGGCGTGTCCATCCTGCGGGCAGGTGAGACCATGGAGCAGGCCCTGACCGCCGTCTGCAAGGACATCCGCCTGGGCAAGATCCTCATCCAGACCAACCTGGACACGGGGGAGCCTGAGGTGAGTCCTGCTGCAGCCCGGCACACACAGCCGTGCGCCGCTGGCACCTCACCCACCCCTTCCTTCCCTCCCCAGCTGCACTACCTGCGCCTGCCCAAGGAGATCAGCGAGGACTACGTCATCCTGATGGACAGCACGGTGTCCACGGGGGCCGCGGCCATGATGGCTGTGCGCGTGCTGCTGGTGAGCGCCGCGCCGCGGGTGGGGCAGGGCGCCCTCGGGGCCCAGCTGGGCTCTCACGTCTCCCTGTGCCGCAGGACCACGACGTGCAGGAGGACAGGATCTTCCTGCTGTCGCTGCTGATGGCGGAGATGGGGGTGCACTCCGTGGCCTACGCCTTTCCCCGCGTGCGCATCATCACCACGGCCGTGGACAAGCGGGTCAACGAGGAGTTCCACATCATCCCGGGCATCGGTGAGGGGGACCAGGGTGTGCTGCACCTCGTGGCTGGGGCCAGCAAGCCTGGCCAGGACTGTGGTGGGGCTGCTGCTGCCGCCCCTTCACTTTGTCCCTTTCTCTGCCAGGTAACTTTGGAGACAGATACTTCGGCACCGATGGCCCCTCGGCCTGGTGTGAGAGCGACAGCATGGACTGCTGAGCTGGCTGGCCACAGGACCACGGGCTAGGCTGGCTGCAGGGCTGGCCCCCATCCCTGCCCCCGGGAGAGGCCCCGAGCTGCCAGCTGTGCCCACCTGCCAGCCCCTGGCTCTCCGGACCTGCGCGACAAGCTGCTGCTGCTGCTGGTGTCCCTCTGCCCCTAAGGACCAATCCTCCCCAGGGAGGAGGAGAAGAGAGGGATGGCCTCTCCTGCGGACCACGGAGAGGGGATATTTAGGGACATTCCTTGCTCCCAGAGCCCTGCCTCTGGGCCTGGGCCAGCCGTGCCTCCAGAGGGAGTGGTGGTCTCCCTGCGGCTGTGCCTGAGGGGGTGCTCACCTGCTACCCAGGGGAAGAGGGGGATGGGGGTCCGGGCTAGCTCCATGCCTGGAACTGTATTTATTTCTATTTATTGTGGGCAGCCCCCAGCTCCAGTGGGACCCTCTGACATCAGGGACTGGACCCCAGGGATCCACCCTGTCCCTGCCAATCCACACTCCATCCCCGGTCCCAGGAGCTGGGGGTTGGCATGGGGCTGCCTTCCCGGTGCTGTCTCATCCCCGGTGCGCAGAGTGCTGCCGGTGCCCGGGGAGTGGTGAGGTGTCCCCGGTGCTGCCCTTGTTGCTCAGGTTCTTTTTCCAAAGGGCAGCGGCAGCCTTGCCCCCCCGCCCCCGCCCCCGGTGGCAGCAGGAGGGTCCGGGGGCGGGGGGTCTGTCCCCGCAGCCCGCGCTGTCCCGGGCCCGGCCGTGCCCCCCACCCCTCGCCACCGTTTTGTACCAATAAAGGAGCAGCGCGATGCCCGTGTGCCGCCTCCTGCTGCCGCCGCACCGGGGTCGGGCGGTCCCTGGGGCCGGGCCGTGCCCTGCACCGGGTGTACCGGGTGGCGCCGGCCGGGCCGTGCCCTGTACCGGGTGTCACCGCCCAGGCCGTGCCCCGTACCGGGTGTCACCGGCCGGGCCGTGCCCCGTACCGGGTGTCGCCGGCCTGTACAGGCCCGTGGCGGTCGCTGCCGCGTCCCGTCCGACCCCGCGACCCTCGGCGCGGCCATGGCGGAGCCCCCGCGGCCGCAGCGGAAGCTGTCCCGGGTCGGGGAGAGCCTGTACCGCGTGCTGGGACTGCAGAAGGGCAGCTCCCCCGAGGAGATCAAGAAGGCCTATCGGTACGGGGGGGGCCGGCGGGGGCCGCGGGTCGTCCTGGGCGCCCAGGCGTGAGGGTCCGTCCCGCCGGCGCGGCCGGGACCTCGTCCGGATGGTCCTGGTGCCGTCCCGGCGGCCAGGGCCGGTTCCGGGCAGCGGGGCTGTGACCCCGTGCCGGGGTCCCGGCTCCGTGCGGGGGTGTGGGCTGTCCCGGGCGGTGGGACTGTGACCCCGTGCCGGGGGTCCCCCCGCTGCACCCGCAGGAAGCTGGCTCTCAAGTACCACCCGGACAAGAACCCCGATGACCCAGCGGCAGCCGAGCGCTTCAAGGAGATCAACAGCGCCCACGCCACGCTCAGCGACGCGGACAAGCGCCGCCTGTACGACCAGTACGGCTCCCTCGGCCTCTACGTGGCCGAGCAGTTCGGCGACGATGCCGTGCGGCACTACTTCCTCATGTCCAAGTGGTGGTTCCAGGTGAGCCCGGCATCAGGTGGGGCCGGCGGGTCGGGTGAGCTCAGCGGCTTGCCGTGCTGGCAGGCTGGTGTTTGAGCGGGCTCTCGGGGCTGGTGTGATGAGGCAGGCACTCAGGTGAGCTCACTGCACGTCTGTCCCTGGCACAGGCACTGCTGCTGTGCTGCGGAGCCCTCACCTGCTGCTGCTGCTGCTGCTGCTGTTTCTTCTGCTGCGGGACATGCTGCCAACCCAAGGAGGATGAGTCCTACAAGTACGTGGACCCCAAGGACCTGGAGGCACAGATGCGTGCAGAGGACAGCGGTAAGTCAGGCGGGAGCCTGGCAGCTGGGAGCACCTGTGTTAGCTTTGGGGGGGCTCTGGGGTGTCCCCATGTCCCATCTTGCGGGAGCCTGGCAGCTGGGAGCACCTGTGTTAGCTTTGGGGTGTCCCCATGTCCCATCTCGTGTGGGGGACAGAGTTCTGGCTCAGGTCATGGGTTGGTTTTAGCCATTGCTCTTAGCTCTTACTTCCAGCCAGCTCTTGGTGCTTCCTGTGTGGGCCAGGGCTGGTGACAGTGACAGAGGGAGCCGCTGCATGGGCCATGGGTACACCTTCTCCTTCCCACTGGACAAAGGCCCCCTGAACAGGCTTGAAGCTTAGAGACCCTGGGGCCTGAGCCCTTTGGGGCACAGAGCACGGGAAGAGCAGCTGTGCTCCGGGCCAGCTGTGTTCCCTGGCACTGGCTGTACTGGTGTCAGTGGGGCTGGGTGACTCCTGCAGGTTCCCGTGGGGTCAGGGCACTCCCACTGGTCTCTGCACTGGCCAGGGCTGTGGGGGCTTTGGGCTGTGGGAGCCCTCGAGGCAGTGTTGTGAGGTTGCTGCTCACTGGCACCACAGGGTGGGGCTGAGGCACTGATCTGCCGCTCTTCCTTTCCAGATCCTCAGGGCCCCGTTGTAGCGCAGCCGCCGCCGGCCGGCACCAGGAGCGATGCCTGAGGCCGGCCCCGTCCCCCGGCTCCCCCACGGCTGGGGCAGGGATCCTCCTTTGGGACTGTCACTTTCTGGGACCACGGTCCCGCCCCTCGGGCTGGCTCATCAGCCTCGCGAGGGATAGAATCTCAGGTTAATTTGGCCAGCATCAATGCACAGGCTCCTGGGCCCCTGCTCGAGCTCCAGGGCAATGCCCCGGTGTCCCAGCACTGGTGGTGGCAGTGGCCTGGAGCCCGTGCTGCTGTGGCCCCCTTGAGTGCCTTGCCCGTGCCCGGTGGGGCACTGAGCAGCAGGCACGAGCAGAGATGCTCCGGGCGAGCTCTGTAGCTCTCAGTCCGAGACCATTAGCACTGTAACCTCGGGGCTGGGCTGAGCCCGCCCCTCCTCAGCCCTCCCTGTGCGTGCTGGGTGCCAAACGCTGCTGTGGGGCTGGGGTGCTCCTGTGCGTGCCCCTTCCCTCTGCCCTCTGGGTTTGTCTGGGTTTTTGTGGGCACCATTAAAGGCCGACGGGAGGGGAGTGTGTGTGTGTGTGTGCGCCTGCTGTCCAGGGCTGCTGGAGCACTCGCAGCAGGATGTTCCTCTGCCTGGTGTTGCCCATGCTGGGGGCTGTTCCCGTGGATCCTGCGGGGTGCTGGACTAACCGGGGTGTGGAGTAGGAGGTCACGCCCTGTGTGGAGTGGTCATGTCGAGTGGAGGGAATGTCACCTGTCTCCTGTCACCCACTGGTGGCATTGTGTGGCCCCTGCTGCTGGCTCTTGCAGGCTCTGCTCTTCCTGCTCCTTCTGCTGGTGTCCCGGAGCCCTGCTCGCCGCTGCCGGCACCTGCCCCGCTCCCGCCCCGCTCTCGGGGAGCCGTGGCCCTGCGGAGGGCCAGCACCGGCCGGGGTGGGACCGAGGGGGACGCAGGGAGCCGCTTGCTCGTTCTTCCCATCTCTGGTCACTGCCGCTGCCCGCAGCTGCATGGGCTCTGCCTCACTCCCTAAATATAGCCAGGGTGCCAGGGCGAGTGGGGATGGGGGTGTCCTGGCACCAGCCCCCCGCCCTGCTCTTCGGGGGGGCTGGCACTGTGGGATCTGCGGGACCCCAACCTCCGCAGCCCTGCAGAGCGGGGCACATTCTCCTCAGCGTGCTTGCCAGCCCTGCAGCCCCTGCTCCAGCCAGCCCTGGTCCCCCGGAGCCTCGGCCGCTCCTCCTCCCGGGCAGGGCACCAGCGGTCCCGGAACGTAGCCGGTGCCGGGCCCTGCCGGTGCCGAGGGGTGGGCAGGAGCGGTGACTCAGTGTCACCCGACGCCGCCGACAGCTGCGGCCCCGGCGGGGCGGGGGCGGCTAAAATTAGCGCCCGGGGCCGGGGCCGAAACAAAGCGGGCACCGGGCGGCCGGAGCGGAGCCGCGGGACAGAGCCGGGCCGGGCCGGGCCGGGACCGCGGCCATGAACTTCGCGGTAGGGCTGAAGCCGCTTCTGGCGGAGGCGCGGAGCATGGAGAGCCTGGAGAAGCAGCTCATCTGCCCCATCTGCCTGGAGATGTTCTCCAAGCCCGTGGTCATCCTGCCCTGCCAGCACAACCTCTGCCGCAAGTGCGCCAACGACGTCTTCCAGGTGGGAGCCGCCGGTGGGGCGGGGGGAGGCACCGGCACCTCGCTCCCCGGGACCCCGGTCCGGCGGGTGGTGGCCCCGTTATCCCGGGATCCCCGGCCAGCGAGGCGGAGGGGCGGGCGGCACCAGGAGCACCGGGATCGTCTTCGCAGGGGGGCCTGGTCTGGCACTGGCGCCGGGAATCCCGGCTCCCGGAGCAGCCGCTGGGAGCTCCGGTGGGCTGCGCTCGGTGCCGCTCCCGGCTGGCGGGGACGGTGAACGGGAATCGGGGGCCGTGTACGAGTCCTGCTTTTTGTCCACATCCGTGGCCGTGCTCTCGCCGGTCTCCATCTCTGTCTCCGTGCCCATGGCCGTGCCCGGGTCCGTGCCGGGGGGCTGTGGGGCGCAGATCCGCGGGGCGGGGGGTGCCGGGGTGCCGGTGTTCCGGGGCTGCCGGGGGTGCGGGCTGCCGCCGCCGTGACCCCTCGCGTACCCCCCCAGGCCTCCAACCCGCTGTGGCAGTCGCGGGGCTCCAGCGCGGTGCCGTCGGGCGGGCGGTTCCGATGCCCGTCCTGCCGGCACGAGGTGGTGCTGGACCGGCACGGGGTGTACGGATTGCAGCGGAACCTGCTCGTGGAGAACATCATCGACATGTGGGGGCGAGACATGCGGGTGACAGCGAGACCACCGAGAGGGCTGGGGTGGGATCCCAACAAGAACTGGGGAGTCATGGGGCCCATACAGGGCCAGGGAATATCCCTGGGGCTGCGGCTGTCTCCAGGGCCAGAGGTGATTCTGGTGCCAGCAGTGTCCCTGGGGCTGAAGGGTCCCTCGGGGCCAGCGGTGTCTCTGGGGCTGGGCAGGTCCCGGGGCTGCTGCTGTCTCTGAAGCTGGGGTGTCTCCCTGACTCCCCCAACCCCCGTGCAGACCCCTTCATGCCAAGGCTGAGCAGCACCTCATGTGCGAGGAGCACGAGGACGAGCGGATCAACATCTACTGCCTGCGCTGCGAGGCGCCCACCTGCTCCCTGTGCAAGGTGTTCGGGGCGCACAAGGACTGCGAGGTGGCCCCGCTGCCGGCCGTCTACCAGCGCCAGAAGGTGGGGGGCCCCCGGGGTCCCGGGGGGCCGGGGGTACCCCCACAGGCACCCTCACGCCCTGGCCCTCTGCACCCAGAGCGAGCTCAGCGATGGCATCGCCATGCTGGTGGCGGGGAACGACCGGATCCAGGCCATCATCACACAGATGGAGGAGATCTGCCACACCATCGAGGTTGGCACCAGGGCTCCGGCCCGGGGCCGTGCCGGCGGAGGGGGGTGGTGGGGCAGGGAGCGCCCAGCCCTGGGGCTGTGCTGGGGGCACACGGAGCAGCCCTGGTCCGTCCCGCAGGAGAACGGGCGGCGGCAGAAACAGCACCTGGGGCTGCGGTTCGACGCGCTCTACGGCATCCTGGAGGAGCGCAAGAAGGAGCTGCTGCAGAGCATCGCGGCCGAGCAGGAGGCCAAGCTGCAGCGGGTCCGCGGGCTCATCCGCCAGTACGGAGACCACCTGGAGGCCTCCTCCAAACTGGTGGAGTCAGCCATCCAGGCCATGGAGGAGCCCCAGATGGCCCTGTACCTGCAGGTGCTGCCAGGGGACGGGGGCTGGGACTGCCCAGGGGTGTGGTGGGGCCATGCTTCCCTGAGGGGCTGCTCACAGGGCTAAACAGGGGGCTGTGCTCAGCCAAAAGGATCTGTGGATCCCCCTGGGATGTGCAGGGGTGGACCTGTGGTGGGGGTGATGTCTAGAAGACTCTGATCCCCCCTCGCTTTCCTTCACAGCACTCCAAGGAACTCCTGAAAAAGTGAGTGGGGACTGTGGGGGGTAAAGGCCTTTGGCTTGTGGCCCTTTGGGGTTGGACCCTGCAGCTCCCGGGGAGTCTCTGCCCTGCAGGATCACAGACATGTCCAAGGCATCAATGAGCAGCCGCCCTGAGCCCGGCTATGAGAACATGGACCACTTCTCCATCAACGTGGACTACGTGGCTGAGATGCTGAGGACCATCGAGTTCCAGACAGGTGCCTGCCCTGGGGAAATTGCTCTGTCCCAAGGGGGCACTGGGACTGCCTGGGGTGCCCGGAGCCCCCCTCACCACATGGCCTGTGCGGGGGTCCCACGCAGGACTGGGGGTGTGACCCCCACCTGTAGCCCCACCCAGGGGCCCTGGAGGCTCAGTCCTGCCCCAGGCTCTCCCTGTTTCCCACACGGGGCTGGTCACATTCCTCCTGGGAACTTCCACCCTGGAGTGTCCTGCTTGTCACCTCCCTCCTGGCATGTCCCATAATGGGGAGGGAGGGAGGGTCCTGCCTGAGCTGTCCCTGCCCACAGAGCCACTGGGTGAGGATGAGGGGGATGGAGCTGGGGACGGCAGCGAGGCTGCAGTGGACGAGGACCGGCTGGACAGCCTGGAGGTGCCCGAAGCTGCTGAAGGTGAGAGTCTGCCATGACTGCCCAGGCCCGTGTCCAGGGCCAGCCTTTGGCTGTGCCATGGTCCCCGTGTGGCAGCTCGGGTCCTTCAGGGTGCCGGCACATCCCTGCCTCCATCTTGTTCCCTCTCTCCCTCTGCAGATGTGGGGCCGAGGCAGAAGCCAGCGAGCTCTCCCCATGGTGAGACCCTCAGGGGAGTGAGATGGGCATGGCCATGGGGTGCCGTGGGGCAGAGGAGACCTCTTGGGAGTGGGGATGAGGGTGTGGAGGGGCAGGTCACACCTCAGGCTGCCCCCAGGCCATCCCTGTCTCCCTGCTGCAGGGACAGGGCAGGGGGTCCCGGGGTCACAGGCTGCTTTTCCACACAGGTCAGCACTGAAGTGAAGCCGTGGGGTAAGGCTGGATGCCCTCAGCTCTGCCTGTCCCTGTCACACCCGGCTATGCCTGTCCCTGTCATCCTGCCCTGGCTGTGGCCATCCCCGGCACTCCCAGGCGAGCTCCATCCCTGCTGCTGGAATTCCCTGATGGGCGCTGCCCCTCTCCAGCATTAAAAGTGTGTGAGGACACATTCTCCCTCTCCAACATTAAAAGTGTGTGAGGACACGTTCTCCCTCTCCAGCATTAAAAGCGTGTGAGGACACATTCTCCCTCTCCAACATTAAAAGTGTGTGAGGACACGTTCTCCCGTGTGCTGTGTGGGTGGGCTGGCGGCCAGGGCTGCCCCAGAGCTGCTCTGCCCCGGCCCCACAGGGTCTAGCCCAGCGCAGCCCCTGCCCCATCACCCCAGCAGTGCCCCTAGGTAGGGGCTGAGACCCCGGAGCCCCAGTGCAAGGCGGGCTGTGAGCCCCGGGCCCCCTGAGTGCGGCTCTGCCCCTGCCCGCAGCCCCTCCGGGGGGCGAGGACCCTCAGGTGCCCCTCCTGCCAGCCCCGCCCGGGGTCTGGTCCCCCGGGAGCTCGGAGCAGACACGGCGGGGATGAGCTGGCTGGGTACACACGCAGCCCCGCGGCGCTGCCTCGGCGGGGTCCCCCGGGAGCCCGCGGCTGCGTCACCGCCGGGGCTGTCGCCAAGGCGGCGCGGCTGATGATGCACATGGCCGGGGTCCCAGCGCCGGGGTCCCCGCAGCCACGCCGAGCCCCGCCAGGCGACAGCACGGGCGGAGCCCTGCGGAGCCCCAGAGCGCGGCCAGGGGCTGCGGGGTCCCGGAGGAGGGGTGGCAGGCCCCGAGCTGTCACCCCAAGCAGAGGGGATGTGGCTGCCAGCAGACCCAGCCCAGGCCCGGCCCAGCTGCTCCTTCCCGCAGCAGAGCTGTGCCTGGGAGGGCTCGGGGGGTCCCCGGGGAGCACGAGGGGCTGTGGCTGCTCAGTGCCTGCACCTGGCATTCCTGGATGCAGCATTTGCCTTCTCCCCTGCTCAGGGATGTTCCCTTGTCGCTGTCACCCTGCAGAGGTGACTGAGAGGGACCCCTAGCACTCAGCAGCCCCTCAGCTGGGTGCCCTGGGTGCCTCGGGGAAGCTCCAGCCTGGTTCTCTTCTGTTTGGGGCAATTTTCTTCCTTGTGCTTTGTGCCCAGGTGCTCAGCACCTTCACTGCCCCCCAGACCAGCCCTGGGCAGCCCCCTGGGATTTGCTGATGCCTCTGCTTGTCCAGTAAAGTGTACCCCCACCTGAGGTTTCAGGAATGAAATCTGTGCACTGAGCACGGATTCCAACACATTCCAGCACATTCCAACACGCAGCCTGCTCCAGGTGCTGTTCAAGGGGGTCTCCAAGAAGCATTGTTATTTTTCTTTATCCTTCTCCATAGCTATGCTTCCAAAGGACTTTTCTCCATAAGGAGCATAATGTTAGCATTCCTAAGGAATGTCTTTTCACTTTCCTCCACACACACAGGTGGGTTGTCCACCTGCTGTGGTCCCTGCTACATGTCCCATTCATGGAATTTTGTCCTTTTTATTGGGTTTGTGTGGCAAGGTTTTGGTAGTGGGGAGATGACAGCGGCAACCTCTGTGAGAAGCTGAGAGAAGTTTCCCCCGTGTCCCAGAGAGCCAAAGGCAGCAGGGACCTGCTGCTGGCCAGGGCAGAGCCCGTCAGTGATGCAGCAGCAGCTCAGGGATATCGTATTTAGGGAGGAAAAGAGTTCTGGTGAGGAGGGAATTGCAGCCAGGGAGGAGTGATGGTCTGAGAGAGCAGCAGCCCTGGAGCCCCCAGGGCAGGGCAGGAGGAACGGGAGGAGCTGATCCAAGAGCTGGGGCAGGGATTCCCCACAGCCTGGGGAGGATACGGAGAGCAGGGGTACCCAGGGGTACCCCCATGGCAGCAGAGACCCAAATCCACCTCTGGGGTACCCCCATGGCAGCAGAGACCCAAATCCACCTCTGGGGTACCCCCATGGCAGCAGAGACCCAAATCCACCTCTGAGGTACCCCCATGGCAGCAGAGACCCCGCTGGGAGTGCCCACGGCAGGGCAGGGGGGGCCCAGAGGAGCCCGTAGAGACCCAAATCCACCTCTGGGGTACCCCCATGGCAGCAGAGACCCCCCGGGAGAGCCCACGGCAGGGCGGGGGGGCCCAGAGGAGCCCGGGACCCCCTGAAAGCCCGAGCAGGGTCCTGGCAGGACCTGTGGGGACAGGAGCCCGTGCAGGAGCAGGGTCCTGGCAGGACCCACGGGGACAGGAGCCCGTGCAGGAGCAGGGTCCTGGCAGGACCTGTGGGGAGCCTGAGGCTGGAGCGAGCAGGGTCCTGGCAGGACCTGTGGGGACAGGAGCCCGTGCAGGAGCAGGGTCCTGGCAGGACCCACGGGGACAGGAGCCCGTGCTGGAGCAGGGTCCTGGCAGGACCCACGGGGACAGGAGCCCGTGCAGGAGCAGGGTCCTGGCAGGACCCACGGGGACAGGAGCCCGTGCAGGAGCAGGGTCCTGGCAGGACCTGTGGGGAGCCTGAGGCTGGAGCAGCCCCCAGGGACTGTCCCCATGGAGGGACACGCAGTGTGCGAGGGGCACAGCCCGAGGGAAGGAGCAGTCTGCAGAGGCTGCCTTCCTCCCTGAGCCGAGCAGGGCAGGGACTCCTCTCCCTCTGAAGGAGCAGCAGCAGCATCCACTAGGTGTGTAACCCCCCTCCTGCCCCTCCGCACCCCTGGGAGCGCGGAGGGAGCAAAGCCAAGCCTGGGACGGACAGAGGGCTGGGGGAACCAAGCCTGGGAGCAGGGTCCTGGCAGGACCCACGGGGACAGGAGCCCGTGCAGGAGCAGGGTCCTGGCAGGACCCACGGGGACAGGAGCCCGTGCAGGAGCAGGGTCCTGGCAGGACCCACGGGGACAGGAGCCCGTGCAGGAGCAGGGTCCTGGCAGGACCCACGGGGACAGGAGCCCGTGCAGGAGCAGGGTCCTGGCAGGACCTGTGGGGAGCCTGAGGCTGGAGCAGCCCCCAGGGACTGTCCCCATGGAGGGACACGCAGTGTGCGAGGGGCACAGCCCGAGGGAAGGAGCAGTCTGTGCCCTTCCTCCCAGAGCCGAGCAGGGCAGGGACTCCTCTCCCTCAGAAGGAGCAGCAGCAACAGTGTGCGAGGGGCACAGCCCGAGGGAAGGAGCAGTCTGCAGAGGCTGCCTTCCTCCCTGAGCCGAGCAGGGCAGGGACTCCTCTCCCTCTGAAGGAGCAGCAGCAGCAGCCACGAGGTGTGTAACCCCCCTCCTGCCCCTCCGCACCCCTGGGAGCGCGGAGGGAGCAAAGCCAAGCCTGGGACGGACAGAGGGCTGGGGGAACCAAGCCTGTCGGAACCGGGACACCTCTGGGAGCCCTGGGTGACACGTGCCCCTGGCAGGAAGCCAAAGACACCTGGGAATTCGATCTTAACCCACGGAGCAAATTGCCAACCTATCATGAAGAATCACAAGTCACAGAAGTTTAGGCAGAGTGATAACGAATTAATCACCGGGTGAAAACAGAGTTTTGGGGATTTTATTATTGGGGGTCTAGGAGGAAAGACGGAGGGATCTGGGTGTTGTCCTATTATTCTTCCTTCTTCTTCCCAGCCTCCATCTTCTGGTGACGGGGGCACATTTGGATTGGTCTGGAGTAGAAGTAGACAGTCTAACACAGACAATAGGTATTGGAAAATAACAATAAATAATTACACCTGACTTGTAGTATAAAATGCAGACACCAGCCCGGGGCGGGCAGCGTGCCCTTGACAGACCTGCAGAGCAGACCTCTGCGGGTCTGAGAGAAAATATTTTGGATAATGGATCATAAACAACCTTGTGAACATGAACCAAAGAATCCTGACTCTTTCTTTGGCCAACAGGCTGGGAAAAGGGACTCTCAGGTCATCCCAAAAGCAGACAACCCGAGAAAAATCCAGTGTTTTTAGAATTGATTTTCCTTGTTACCCGACTCTGATTTGATTGGTAACAAACCAAACCAACTTTCCCAAAGCCTGCTCTGCCCACAGCAGCAATGGGTGAGCTTTCTCTGTCCTCACCCTGAGCCACGAGCTTTTTTTCTGTTTTCCCTTGCCTGTCCCAGCGAGGGGCAGCGATGGAGCAGCTCTGGGGAGCACCTGGCATCCAACCATGGTCGGTCCATCTCAGCAGTAATGCCAATTTCCTTCCTCCTGGCTGGGGTTAAACCCCAGGGAAAATCCTCACAGGGTTCTGGGACTCGAGGAGCAATGCCAGGTCTAAATCTAAGATTAAAATTCCCCAATCCACAGGGTCGTCGCTGATTGTGGCACTGGGAAATCCGCGGGTTTTACTGCTGGAGTTGGAATTTTCCTGATTGATTGGACAAGCTTTAAAGTAACAACATGTTATATAATGGATCACCATAAAATAACAACATATTCTATAACAGATCACCATAAAATAACAATATATATACAATGGATCACCATAAAGTAACAACATATTCTATAACAGATCACCCTAAAATAACAACATATTCTCTAATGGATCACCATAAAATAACAATATATTATGTAACAGATCACCATAAAATAACAACATGTTATATAATGGATCACCATAAAATAACAACGTATTATATAATGGATCACCATAAAGTAACAACATGTTATATAATAGATCATCATAAAATAACAACATATTCTATAACAGATCACCATAAAATAACAATATATATACAATGGATCACCATAAAATAACAACATATTCTATAACAGATCACCCTAAAATAACAACATATTCTCTAATGGATCACCATAAAATAACAATATATTATGTAACAGATCACCATAAAATAACAATATATATATATAATGGATCACCATAAAGTAACAACATATTATATAGTGGATCATCACGAAATAATATATTATATAGTGGGTCACCATAAAGTAACAACTTATTCTGTAATGGATCACCATAAAATAACAATGTATTATATAATGGATCACTATAAAATAACAATGTATTATATAGTGGATCACTGTAAAGTAGGAATTTATTATATAATGGATCATCATAAAGTAACAAGTTATTATATAATGGATCACCATAAAATAACAATGTATTATATAATGGATCACCATAAAGTAGAAATTTATTCTATAATGGATCACCATAAAGTAACAAGATATTATATAGCAGATCACCATAAAATAACAACATATCATATAGAAGATCATTATAAAATAACAATGTATTGTGTAATGGGTCACCA